CATGTGTGACTAGAACCGGACTGAACCAGTAAAAAATGACGTCAAGTGACTGGTTCTTCCCGGTTTATGACATCGTATAAGCAGTTTATGGTTCCGAACTAACTGCCGGTTCTGATTTAGAACCAACCGGACTTAACCAGTAAAAAATGACGCCATGTGACTAGTTCTCCCAGGTTTATGATGTTGTATAGGCAGTTTATGGTTCAGAACTGACCGCCCGTTCTGATCTAGAACCCAGACAATATATGCAGTTTATGATGTCGTATAGGCAGTTTATGGTTCAGAACCGACCGCCGGTTTTGATCTAGAACCCAAGCGGTTTTCGGTTCTGCGATGTAATCAGCACGGGGACTAAGAACCAGACTGGGTGTAAGGCTTGAACCGGACTGACTCCGTAAAAAATGATGTCATGTGATCTGTTCTCCCCGGTTTATGACGTCGTATAGGCAGTTTATGGTTCAAAACTGACCGCCGGTTTTGATCTAGAACACGGGCGGTTCTCCCCAGTTTATGACGCCGTATAGGCAGTTTATGGTTCAGAACCGACCGCCACGTGTGACTGAGGTGTAGGGCTTGCCATGTGTGACTAAGAACCGAACTACCACGTGTGACTGGGGTGTAAGGCTAGCCATGTGTGACTAAGAACAGGAGAACCGGATTACCACGTGTGACTTAGGTGTAAGGCTTGCCATGTGTGATTAAGAACCGGACTGAACCAGTAGAAAATGACGTCATGTGACTGGTTCTCCCCTGTTTATGACGTCGTATAGGCACTTTATGGTTCAGGACCGACCGCCACATGTGACTAAGGTGTAAGGCTTGCCATGTGTGACTAAGAACCGGACTACCGCCACGTGTGACTGAGGTGTAAGGCTTGCCATGTGTGACTATGAACCGAACTAGGTGTAAAGCTTGCCATGTGTTCTAAGAACCGAACTAGGTGTAAGGCTTGCCATGTGTGACTAAGAACCGGACTGAACCAGTAAACAATGACGTCATGTAACTGGTTCTCCTCGGTTTATGACGTCGTATAGGCATTTTATGGTTCAGCACTGACCGCCATGTGTGACTGAGGTGTAAGGCTTGCCATGTGTGACTAAGAACCGGACTAGGTGTAAGGCTTGCCATGCGTGGCTAAGAACCGGACTGAACCAGTAAAAAATGATGTTATGTGACTGGTTCTCCCCGATTTATAACGTCGTATAGGCAGTTTATGGTTCAGAACCGACCGCCGGTTCTGATCTAGAACCCGGGCGGTTCTCCCCTATTTATGATGTCGTATAGGTAGTTTATGGTTTAGAACTGACCTCCGGTTCTGATCTAGAACCCGGGCGGTTTTCGGTTTTACGATGTAATCGGCACGAGGACTAAGAACCGGACTAGGTGTAAGGCTTGCCATGTGTGACTAAGAACCGGACTGAACCAGTAAAAAATGACATCATGTGATCGGTTCTCCCCGATTTATGACATCGTATAGGCAGTTTATGGTTCAGAACCGACCACCGGTTCTAATCTAGAACCCGGTCAATTTTCCCCTGTTTATGACGTCGTATAGGCAATTTATGGTTCAGAACCGCCAGTTCTAATCTAAAACCCGAGCGGTTTTCGGTTTTGTGATGTAATCGGCATGAGGTTACTAATTTTTGTGCCCACTCGGGCGAGTCCATTGGGACTCGCCGAGTTTTTAAATCACTGGGTTAGAGTTTCGTGGTGCAGCAAGTTCCAAGGGCTAGTGCGGTGGTGGTTGTTGGAAACACAACTGTCACTCGTCCTATGAACATTCGCATTAGTTCCGAGCGCGAAACACAATAATTTGTCTTACAAAAAAGTCACATTAACAACCAGTAGTATATTTTACCCGTCGTTTTTAATAACCTTTTATTATTTCAAATTCTTTCTCTCTCAACATTTTTTTATGGTTTTTATCTCTCTAAATTCCAAGCAAGGTGCTAAGTAAATTTTCCTATATTGTACAAATTAAGTGAGTATCATCAACTTTCTGTTTACAGATATCCCGATTGATTTACTTTTTTATACATTATTATTTTATAATTAAAGAAACAAATTACAGTTTTGAGAGAGCATTGTTATAAACAAAAAAACTCCCTTTATTTATTTTTCATCTTCCTTCTAATCCCCATTTCCACCGGCTCCAAATTTTCATCAATGGAAAAATGCCACTATGAACTTGGGAAGCACATCCGTTATAAACCACAGCATGATCGGGACAAAAGAATATGCTACTTTAATCGAGAGAAAAGCAGATACTAATCCGCGTCATCACTTTATGGAATAGACCTTGAAATATTGGACCTCTGTCTGACAAGGGAAAGGAGTATGCGAATAGGAGAGATTTCAACAAAAAGGAAACAACAAACCCTGAATCGCACAAATTTAGTATAAACTTTATATAAAAAGAAAAAAAAAAAAGCATTTGAAAACCATTTTACTCAAAAAAAAAAAAAAAAAACACAGTAAATCAAATTATATTAATATAAAATTTGAAATGATTATGTACTCCTAAATTTCGAAGGGATGGGGACGAGTTGAGCAAAGCTTCCCCCCAGAGCCCAAGATACTTGTGCGAGTCCGAATTGATTCACCCAAGTTGTAAAACATGGGTTTTAGATATTTAAGAGTCTCGTTAATTTGTATTTTCTTTTAGTAAGGATAGTGTTTCAAAACGTAGATAGATGGGGCGAGTGATCCACCTAGAGATTTAGATCGGTGATCAAGATCACGTCTGGATAAGTCTGAATCAATTATTCAAAATAATAAAAAATAAATTAATAAAATCAAAATCAAAATAGGGATTCATAGGATTGGGCTTTAAAGGGATTTAAAAAAAATATTAGATAAGCTCAAAAGATATATATATATATATATATATAAAAGGGGTTTTAGGGGGAACCAAGTCGAAACCCATGTCATCCCAGATTTGATTTAGTCCGAAACGATTCCCATTATATTCAACGATCCAAATCATCAGGTTTTAAAATACTCATCAAGGAGAAATTTTCCTGGTTAACCTTGCACAATCCAAATCATCAGGTTTTAAAATACTCGTCAAGGAGAAATTTTCCTGGTTAACCTTGCACAATAAAATAGGGTTTAGGCCTACATTTCTTCCCACTTCTACTATGAAAAGATAAAGAGGAAACGAATATTTCGATGAAGTGACCCCATCAATCATTCTTTGTAGTTTCTTCTCCTTTCATTTTCTGGATCCGCATTCTAATGCTCTTTCCATGTCTTTTCCCTTCTTCCCTTTCTTCAGGGTCACCTTCCTAACTTACCCAGGAGCACGTATACTATGGTCTTTCAAGAGCCTAGTTTTCTTCTACTCCATCGGTCAGAAGATTTGCTTAAGACGATTTTGATAATTTAAAATTTTGGGAATTATTTAAGAATTATTATTCTCAACAAAATAAATTAAAATTTTAAATTTTTTAACACTTAGATCTTACCATTTAAAAGTTGGAAGGTTTCTACTCAATCTCGAGACATTATTTGTTTTCAAGTGCATAGAAGATATAATTAGGAAAAAAAATTTATTGAAGTGAAGCTATCCATTGAAGATGTTTCAACCCCAAAATTCAGGTTCCTAAAAATTAATTCTTGGTAGGGTTTAACTGAGGGAGTAAATGGATATTCTACTCCCTCAGGAGTAGAATATCTTTTGGCTTATTTCTATGTGTGAGTTCTGGTGTCCACCTTATAAAATTGAAGTTAGCCGCACTTCAAATCATGCCGAAAGATGCAGTTTGGGAGTCAAAAAGCTTTGGGATGGCATAAAAAAGTGTTGATACCCTTAATTATGAAATTTAAAGATTCAAAACTTATATTGTTCAAGTCAATCTATAAACACTTCAAAATTTTGAAAATAGATGGTTTAGTTAACACGTTATAAGATGCAGTATTTACATAACATGAATTTATTTTACTTTTTATATCCATACATAACAAGATTGAGATGATTAAATTGAAGGTTTTCTAACATCATAATAACCTTGGCAAAATTACAAAAACCCCCCTCAAATTTATTATCTATGCAACTTCCCCCCAGCTAACCTTTTCTATCACTTTGTTCTCCACAACCACATTTCTCACAAAAACCCCCCAATCCAAAAAAAAAAAAAAGACTAAACTACCCCCTCTCTCTCCTCGTGACTTTTACCCTCAACTCTCTCCCCGTGCGCTCCGACAGTCCATTTAAACACTCCTGCAATGAGGACATGTGCTTCAGCAATGCAATGACTCTCTCCGACAGTATACCTTCTGGAGCCAAAGGGCTCCGACGGTTGGATAGGTCGCTCCGGCAATGAGGACATGTGCTCCAGCAATGCAAGGACTCACTCCGGCAATACACCTTTTGGAGCCACAGCGCTCTAGCGGTTGAATAGGTCGCTCTGGCAATAAAAACAAGCGCTCCGGTAGTACAAAGATGCGTTCCAACAGTACACTTTCTAGAGCCACATCACTCTGGCGGCTGAATTGGTCGCTCCGGCAATACAATACTTGGACCGCCAATTGACTTTTTTTTTGTACGAGCAGGGCATTTTCATCCAAAAAATAACAACTTTTTACCTTGGGGGGATTTTTGCGAGAAAAGATGGTCGTGGAAAAAAAGTGAGAGAAAAGGTTAGCTGGGGGTTAAGTTGCATAGATAGCATACTTGGGGGGGTTTTTGTAATTTTCCCAACAACCTTTTCCGGTGTTTGTCTTACTCCTTATTTCAATAGTATAAATCGGCACCATATATAAACTTATTCCTATTATTACACAATATATCTCATGTCTTTGTATATTAAATACCCTTTTGTGTTTTCTTTAAAGATTTCTCTCCAAATTTAACATCCACGACTTCCTCGGCTCCAAGCCGAGCCTAGTCAACAAGCCAAGCCCATTTACTACTGACTTGGACCCTTCAAGTCAAGATATTGTTTTTATTCATGTTAATTCCTAAGCATTTACTTGCATTATTGTAAACAAGTCTTTGGAAGTTGTTAGCCAAGTTCCAAGCAAGATCTCCATGCCCAAACCTTCCTCCCCTCTATAAATACCCTCTTCCCTCTACCATTTTCCATCACTTTTCCTCAAATTCCCACCATTTTCACTCCTCAATATCCCTGCCATTCCCTAATCCTATCACAATTTCTGCCACAAGAAGCAAAAACAGAGAAAATGGCCACTAAAACTCTAGAGTTTTCAGTAACTGTGAGTGAACCAGTGCTAGTAACTCCATCAAGACCAACACCTTATGAAATCAAGCCTTTATCTGACATCGATGACCAAGAAGGCTTTCGTTTCCAAATTCCAGTGGTCCAGTTCTATCGTAAGGACCCCCAAATGGATGGTCGAGATCCCGCAAGAGTGGTGAGGGATGCGTTGTCTGAGGCGTTGGTCTATTACTATCCTTTTGCTGGGAGGTTGAGAGAGGGGGAGAACAGGAAGTTGAGTGTGGAGTGCAGTGGAGAGGGGGTTTTGTTTGTGGAAGGGGATGCCGATGTGAGTTTGGAGGAGTTTGGGGATGCTCTTCAGCCTCCTTTTCCTTGTTGGGAGAAGCTCTTGATTCATGTGCCTGGTTCCGATGGCGTCATAGGATGCCCATTGCTCTTCATTCAGGTATTTTGTGTCTCATATCTTCCATATTTGCGCTTCAATCTTTCTATTTCTTGTTTTGCGAATACCTCTAAACAGTTCTCTCCTTATCATAGAGAGAGCAATGTCCTGCATACTTCTCACTAGTGGGCACGAGCAGATTCGGTTTTGGCTGGGTTTGGTGGTTAGGTCGGGTATTTTGAAAAGGCTTCAAAAAATATATAAAAAATTCTAAAACATAAAGAATTTGTTTCTGATCTGTTTTTGGATCTTTTTATCATTTTGAAAAAGATTAGAAAGAGTTTTAGGCCATAAATATTTATTTTTATATATTTTTTATCTTTTTTTAAAAAAAAATTTGAAAATAGCTTTGAGCAAATCGATTTTTTAGAATCTATTTTTTTTCACTTCATTAAAATCTATTTTTTTTTCACTACTTTTCAACTTCATTTAGAAGTGTTTTGTTTAAGAGTGCCTTAAATATAATTTTTCAGATTTTCTTTTAACACATTTTGAACTGGGCAAAACTTGCCCGATTGAGCTACTTTAACGGTTACTCAAACCCGGCCCTTAGCTCGTTTTCGAGGCCGGTTCTATTTTTCAAACACTGCTTCTCACTTGGATTTTTCAGTTCTTGTGTTCCACGTAGCAGTCTTCTTATTAGAGGGAGACCTTGTTTTACTCTTCAATTTTGATTCCTTATTTTCCACATAGGTGGGATTGAGTAGCAAGTCCTCTCTCTCTCTCTCTCTCTCTTACAATCAACCTTCTATTACCTTATCGTAAAGAAGTCAGCTTTTCCTTGCTTCTCGCTTATTTTTATTTCTTTTGTCCTAGAGGAATCAACCATCTTTTTTTTTGCTTAATTGTTTTTTTTTAAATTTCTTGCGGTTTTTTATCACGCATCTGATGAGGTTCAATGAATGTTGAGTAGGTTAATTAAGTACCTGTGAAGAGGGAGTGGCCCGAAAAAAATCTTTTACTTTTATCATTCTCATTTTTGTTTTTGCTTTAATTCTGTCATTTTTTGGAAAGAAAATGGTTTGATAGGGCTGTAGCTTTGTCAAAATGAGTAAAGCCTCACTTCATAACTCATTAAATATTGTTATTCAAGTATTGGAAAACCTTTACATCGATCATTTTTACTTGAACATTATTATTGAGAAAAATTAGAATTTGAAACTCCAAAAATAGATTATATCCTAACAAATTATCTAGACCATCCATTTCACCTTCAAAATAACTATTCAAAGATCCACTAGATTTGTATATTTTTTTAGTTTCAAAACTATTGTCCGGGTTAGAATTTGATTTTAGAGGTCATCTGGGAAACTTCATCATTTCCCCATAAATGTGCCAAAAGTATGTCGTTAGGATACTATGTACTCCCTCAGGCACAATACTTGCTTGGGAGTAATTTTTTTATTTCAAATTTAGGAACCACCTGATAATAACAATTAGTAAATGATTGTTTTCCAAAGAAAGAGTTTGGAATTTGAGTTCTCTAGTCCTTAGAACTCACCCTCCAGGTATCGGATGGTTTCAATTCAACCTTAAGATATTATTTTCTTCAAGCACATAAAGAGTGTGATTTGAAGAGGTTACATCCCCAAATTTTAGGATCTTAAAAATACCCCTAAGTCTTACCCAAGAGAGTAAATATGCAGTATACTCCTGATAGCTTTTGGTTTAATTTCTAGCACTCTTCCGACAACCAAATGCCAGTGTAGCATAAAAGAATCTCATCCACAATCTAGGCACAGTGAAGTTGTTTGTTGGATACCTATTCCCACCAATACGCATCCTTTTGGAAAATATTCAAAAATTAATTCAAAACTTTTTGGGTGGTCAAATCAATAAATTTATTAAGATAAAAAATGCCCCGAGGGTCAAAAGGAAAAAAATTTATTTTAGGTAAGGGAGAGCTCAATGTCATTGTGCCACTTAAGTGGAGCCAAATTACCCATGATGTTCAAGATTCCTAATACATGATAAAGACCTTTCGAGCACTTTCAACCACTTTTTTTTATTATTTATTTATTTATTAGTTTGGTAGTTCAGTAGGGAATTGTCTCCCAAGTATAGTAGGAATTAGGAATGGAACAAAATAGTCACTTTCTTTCATAAATTTTATGAATTTGACCGCTTCAATCATTACTTTGAAGTCATTAATTTTTTTGTACTTTCCTTTTCGCAATGCTAGAAATGTTTTCTCTAATTTTTACGCCACATAAACTAAAAAAACAGTACATCAAAAAGGATAGATAGAGAGTGCCGATAAATTAAAAATGTTTTTTTTAGGTAATGCAGTGGGGAAGACAAGCCCCTACCTTTTTTTTTTCAAGTGGATTAGGAATTGGTTTTTTTTATAGTGTGAAAATGTTAATTTATTGAATGAGAGAGAGAACAGACCAGAAAGAGACTTGTAACATGTTGCCATCCATTTATTTTTCCCACCTGGATGCCAATTTGTGTTCAGTCCTAATATGGAACCACATATTATGTAGTTGTTTGAATAGGAGTATATAGCTATATGCTATATACGACTACTACATTGCTGAACTTTGTGAAAACTTTTGTTGCTGTTGTCCACCATTAAACCTTGGAGACTTGTTCTTTTCAATAGGTGGGAAGAGGGGCCCATCTCCCTGCTGGATTGCAATGCCACTTAATTGCAATACCAGCTTTAGGAAAGAAAACGTAAAAGCTCCAATCAAAACCATGCTATTAGGCAAGGGGTTGGGTCGTGGTGATAGCACCCAATACTTAATTACTATGTTGCAGTTTTCCATCCTAATAACACCGTACACTAATACTTTCAAAAAGTTAACTCTTAATCTATTTGAAAGAAAGGGGTAGAGGCCTGTCTTCCCCACTTAATTACTTAAAAAACCAAACCATACCGTGGCTATCAAAAACTCAAGCCTGCACTACAATAAAAATCCACCTCATAGATAAAATAAAAAGGCTAGGAGGAACACTACATTCTTCAATCAAGAGAAGTGCCTTGTTTGCATCCTTGATGAAGTCATGGTTTTCATTATGGATGAGGTTTGTATGCGGTGTCAATGTTTTACTATTGAAGTAAGACACATCTCAAAACCACGCGGAAAGATGAAATTTCGGTATCGAAAAGCCTTGTGATGACGTGAAAATCTATTGTCACCCCTAATTATGAAATTTAGAGTTCCAAAAATGGTGACAATTAAGTAGATCTATAAATACTTGAAATTCTTAAAAATAGATGGCCTAGATGTGTTAATTTGAGGGTTTTCCAAGCTTCTCTACTGGGCTCTTTAGCTGCACCTTACTTCTTCATTAAAGTTAGGACCTTAAATAAATTTAATTTTACAAAATAAAAAAAAATCCAAATTTCTTTTTGTGAAAGGGAAAATTACAAAAAAGAAAATTGTTTCATGTGGGCCGGACCGTATTTCTACATATGCGGTCTAGAAAGTGTAAAGCATCCATCTTAAAGATAGATGCAAGTAGGTGTTCCATCTAAAACAAATGGAAACTAACGGTCCAAATGTTTTCTTACTAGAATAAATATTTTTAGTTTTTAAAATTTATTTATTTATTCATATTCATGATCTCCATATTAGAGGTTACATGTCCTTAAAAAATTAAGTATTAAAAACTATCTCAAAAATATATTTATTAAGAGGTCCACATTTCTATATATGCAGGCTTGGCCACATAGAAACTGGGGCCTTACAAAAAAACCCCTCCAAAATAAGACTTTTTTAGATAACCTACCCCTAATAAAGTTTTTTTTAGTAACTTTTACCTCAAATTAAACTTTTCTAGCAAATATCCCTAAGTCAAAAAGTTATATTTTTTTTTATGAAAATGCCCATAGTGCTGAACCGCCCCCATTTTGTGCCGGACTGCATGCCCAAAGTGTCAGACTGCCCCTATTTTGTGTCAAGACCGCATGCTCTCCAGAAGCCCGAAGTGTCGGACCGCATGCCCAAAGTGTCGGACACCTATTTTGTGCCGGACTGCATGCTTTCGAGAAGCAAAGTGCCGGACTGCCCCCATTTTGTGTCTGACTGCATGCCCAAATTGCCAAACCACTACTATTTTGGGCCGGACCGCATGCTTTCCAGAAGCAAAGTGTCGGACCGCCCCCATTTTGTGTTGGACCGCATGCTTTCCAGTGGGTATTTTGGTCTTCATTTTACCGTTTTATGACTTAGGGGCTATTTGCTAAGAAAGTTAAATTTGGGGTTAAAAGTGATAAAAAATTTGATTGGGGAATGTTGCATAGAAAATCTATTCTTGAGAGTTATTTGTAATTTTCCCCTTGTGAAATTACTACAAATCATAAGTCAATAGACATCTAACATAACAATGTTGTCTACCAGGTAACCCGCCTTCGTTGTGGGGGCTTCATCTTTGCCCTGCGTCTCAACCACACAATGAGTGATGCATCTGGCCTTGTCCAATTCATGAACGGGGTTGGCGAGCTTGCGCGCGGTCTCCCCCGCCCCTCCATCTTCCCCGTTTGGCAGCGCCACCTCCTCAATGCCCGCAACCCTCCATGTGTCACCTATGCCCACAGGGAATACGACCAAGTCCCCGATACCAACAATACCCTCATGCCCCTTGATGACATGGCCCACCGCTCCTTCTTCTTCGGCCCTTCTGAGGCTGCAGCCCTGCGTTCCCAACTCCCCCCTCATTTGGCCAAGGCCTCTACCTTTGACCTCCTTGCTGCCTGTCTATGGAAGTGTCGCACTACGGCACTTACCATGAACAATGATGAAGATGTGCGATTGGTGTGTATTGTGAACGCACGGTCGAAGTTCAGGCCACCACTGCCCCAAGGTTATTATGGGAATGCATTTGCGTTACCTATCGCCGTGAGCAAGGCAGGAAGCCTGAGGAGGAACCCATTTGGATATGCAGTGGAGCTTGTAAGAAAGGCAAAGGAGGAGGTCACTGATGAGTACATGAGGTCAGTGGCCGACTTGATGGTGACGAAGGGTAGGCCACATTTTACAGTAGTGAACACTTTTTTGGTTTCAGATATAAGGAGGGCGGGGTTCGGAGAGGTCGATTTTGGGTGGGGGAAAGCAGTTTACGGGGGGGCCGCCAAGGGTGGGGTGGGAGCAATTCCTGGGGTTGCAAGTTTTTTCATTGCATTTAAAAATGGGGATGGGGTAGATGGGACTGTGATTCCGATCTGCTTGCCTGAGGCTGCGATGCCCAGGTTCACTAGAGAGGTTAAGAGAATGGTGAGCGGCGGTGGCAAGACTAAAGAGGTAACAAGGGAGGAGCCTCCTTTCATTTACTCTGCACTGTGAATACAAATGAGGAAACGGTTTGTTAGTTGTGAGCCAAATCAGATGCCATGTAAATGTGAATGGATTTTGTGTGAGACGAGTATGTTTAGATTTGAACAACTTTTTAGGGGTTTTTGTACTTGCCAAATACTTTGTGCATCAATTGTGCCTCCATAGTTTAAACTTCAAGGGCTTGTAGTTTCAAAAATAAAAACCTTTAAAGGCTTGTTTGGATGTACTCCTTAGCATTGATAACTTACTGTTTCAATAAAATTAATCATTATAATAAATCATCTTCTATTTGACAATGTGGCTCAAAAAATTATATTAAGACCAACTTTTAGGGAATTTTACACACCAGTTTTATCTTTTTGAAAAGTTTTTTGACTTTATAGAAAGCAATATGTTTAAAATCACATATATTTAGCTTGAAATAACAAAAATAGCTTAAGATCATTGGAAGCTAAAAATATTAGATATTATTATAATACAGAGTATATACCAAACAGGTAATACAATAATATTATCGAGTATATTAATTTCAAATAAGATAGTTTACTTCTGATAAGATTCAATATCATCCAAACAACCCCTAAATGAGAGAAACAACACATATAGAGTTCGAACACTGACTTTAATTGCGCTAAACATTATATGACAGCTCTCTGTCTAGACTAAATGGTCTTGCCCTCATCTCGACACTGGCAAATTTTAGCCTTGGCTTCCATGAACTAATGAGTTCTCAGACTGACGTCCCCAAGAATCACAAAATTTCTTATTTCGTTCAAATAAGTGATTACAAAATTTAGTTTAAAAAGGGTAATTGTTCAAATGAAAAGCAATCTGGGATGCACAATCTCATTAAACCACACTTACTTTGGCAATTGAGATGCAAGAGTTGAATGAAAGCATGATTTTCTTCTTCTTCGTAACAAAAATTTTAGTAGTCCTGTTTGTTGGGAAGCAATTACTTCTTCTCTATGTGTAAATAAAAGATAAATATTTTGTCTTAAATATTTACTAAAAACGACCAAGAAATAAAATTATGGAAATTTTACAAGAAATTAAAAAACAGCCATGACACCAAGATTTACATAGAAAATCCTATATAGAAGAAAAAAACACGGGGCACCACAGATAAAATTTATTATGCAAAAAAGAACTACAGTTCTCCTCAAATCAATCACCCATAGCCTGAGGATATGTGATGAAGAAAATAGAAAAAACACATGCTCACCTTCAAGAGATTAATTTCCTTCTTGTTCCTTTTCTCAAAGAATAGTCAATACCGTATTTTTAAATCATGTTGGAGAATGCCAACTTCATTCTTGTAAGAAGCACCAACCTTTTGAGAGTTGTGGAATAGAAGCCCCCCGAAATTTTTTCAGTACCTTAAAAACCCATTTACAGAGAAACAATGCACTCACTTTATTTATTTATTTATTTATTTTGTTCACCTATCTCTCCCAACAAACGAAAACGCATGAGGACTACCCCCACTTAATGGATATTGTGCTCAACGTACATGCGTGCTTAAGTAGCACTCATGCTTACCCTGTCCTTACAAGCTCTTGCATTTAGCCAACCTATCGAGATATTGAAATCAATAATGATTTTATCTGTCCACATTAACCGACTGTCTGAGACGTCCTATATCCAATAAAAGCAAACATTTATGTGGTTTGTCCTGGCATGATGTGTCGCATTCTTGCTTTTAGGTCTATAGGGTAAGGGCTCAAAGTAAAAAGTATTTTCTCTCCTCTCTCTAGGGTTGAAAACTTGAAATAGAATGCAAAAACACAAGCTCAGAGAGTTTTAATCTCAACTTAACCAACTTTTCAACTTAAGGTTACAAATGAAGTAAAAGAGCTTATACAGGGGTTACAACAGAACAAAGGAGGAAGAAAAATCGTAAGGATCACAGATATGTCATTGTAGCCGGAGGGTATATTTTGGACTCACAGGCATGTGCTTTGCCGTTGGTGGTGATGCTCGTCGGTGATGGGGGTGGTCACCGGTGGAAGCAAGTTGCTGGAGTGAGCTACCAGAAGTGAAGATGGTCCCCAGTGGAGGGTACTTACCGATGGAGATGCTCACCAATGGATGAAGGGTACTCACCGGTGGAGGGTGTTTGCTAGTGGCGATGGTCACCGATGAAGGTCCTAGCCCGTGGATAGAAGGTACTTGACAGTAGAGAGATTTACTTCTATTAGGCCTCTCACTTTTACCTTTTCTCTCTCCACCATTGCCCCTCTCCCATTCTTTCTCAACAGTAGAAAAATCCCCTTTCTGTGAACTTCTGATGGCTTCCGATGGGAATCACATCCCTGGTGCTATGAAATATGCACCAGTCTCAGCTCATCAAGACAAAGCAAAATTCGCAAACTACTCAAAATAATCAACATAGAAACAATAGCATTATTAAAAGCTCCCACATTGGGCCTCGAACAATATCTTTGCTACAAAGAGGGGATATACTCAATTACTGAAAGTTAGGTGCCATTTCGAGACTTGTATTTCTATTTCAGGAAAATAGATTTCGAGGAAATATGTCTTTTCCAGTTTGGGTACCCACAATGCAGGAAATGAAACACATTACCTAAAGTTTCTCACCCCCATAGCTAAAAAATGTATTATGAAAAAAGACAGGTAATATCAACCAAATGGACCTCCTAAAACAGATTTAAGTACCCCCTTATAAATTTGGGGTCCGCGTTTGACCTCTTCTGTCCCTATGTTCCACCTCTCTCTCTCTCCCTCGCTCCCTCAAAAGACTCTTCCTGGTGCCTGCAATAATATGGCTTCACAAATGAACAGAACAATAAGAGCTTTAGTTCAGGTTTGCATGGAAACTGAGATGTACACGTTAAATCCAGGTCTTTCATAAATCTGATCATCCAAACTAGACTTCTAAAACTTGAATCATTCCAAACAAGGGCTTTAAAAGATCTAACCCCTTATTTACTTCTTAGAAATCTCAAATCTGAAAATGAGTCGACTACTAGATATCCGGCTGAGATACAATTCTAGATCCTGGAAAGGGAAGGTATAGGATAAAAAAGTCACAATCACCATCAACTGTTTGATGTTAAATTGGATGGTTAAGAAGCTTCCATTAACAGCTCAAATTCCAAAAGAAATTTTTTTGAGATTCATAACCTACCAAAAGCCATTGATGGCATAACCTCTAAGTAAATGGTCTCCTAGCATGCAATCCCTTATTGGAAAAATGCTTTTTTAGAGAACATTTGAAGGAATCCCTAGTATATCCATTTTTGGCTCACGAGTATTTTAAACCCGGATTTGCTAATGTCATTCTAATCTCAAGTTACAAAAAGGTATATAGTTTTTTGTCTCTTCTCGTTATGTTATATTTATAACGCCCTTTATTCTCCCACAACTAGCAGGATCCATCGTTTATTTATTTATTTATGAATAAAGTTTATATAAGGTTGCAACCTTAAAATGTAGAATTACATGTGCACCTCAAAAATCTATCAGAAAATGTTGTTTTAATATTGAAAAACTCTCTAATTAATCATCTTGACACCGAGATGTATGAATACAAAAATAAAAAATAAAAAAGATTTTGAGCCCTAGAATAGTGCATCTTGCAACACATTATCTAGACCGTCCATTTTCAAGATTTTCAAATGTTTAAAAATCTACTTGATTTTAACCATTTTTGGAGTTTAAAATTGTATTATTAGATATGAAAATAGATTTCAAGATAATCCTAAAAACATCTTATGCCAAAATTACATATTGTGATAAATTTTGGAGGTGTGCCTTAATTGGATTGTTTAAGGTTGCAACCTTAAAGCAACCACTCTTTATTTATTATTTATTTAGATCATTATGCTGTAATTTTATTTTTCTTCTTTTTGAAGATCCATTATTTTTAATTGAAACTGTGAAGATGGGGTGGGCTATGCGCTGTAGGTAACAGTTTGGACCAGAACTAACATCTGATCTAGTAATCTGGGTTAAGGTTCAATTAAGCCAATAATATCTTCATAATATGGTTTTCATAAATCACGCTGTAGAAATCCGAGAGCGTGGCAGACAAGAAGTGTTTTAACAAATCAACCTCTACAAAGACTCAGGGGAGAGTGACAGTGAGCGAGGGTTTTCAGAGATTTTAGAATTGGTAATAAGGTTTACATCGAAACCAATCGTCTCAGCGAAGGTTTTAATCAATCTTTAATATTTTCAGCTGCAGTTTCACAAATCAGGCTGTAAAGACTTGGGAAAAAGGCAAGAGAGAACTAGGGTCTGCAGAAAAGACAGCCTCAAGTTCTTTTAGAATCGAAAGAGAGAAAAGCAGCAGCTTCAAAAAAAAATAGTTTCTAATACAAAAACACTTGTGCACAAGAATAAAGAATAGAGAACCTAAATAGAAGTTGTAAAAGACAATAACTACAATCTAAACTAAAGAGAAACCCAAAACTGATCAAGAATGGAATCCAAAGGGCCTAAAACTACCCATTTAACTGTAAATGGAAGTGCGGAGAATAGCTTCAAGCTAAACTAAACTACCATTCATATGCATGCAACCAGTGATTCAAATTCAAGAAATTCAAAAGATCAGGCCCTTTGATGAAGAAACAGTGCACTTAAACCAATGAAGCACATTGCAGTCTCAATTTGAGTCAATGAGAGAAGAGATCTGTTTTGTTAGTCTATTGAGCAGCAAAGTTCCCCAGCATTCAAATTCAAGACCGTGAGATATCTCGCTGTAAAAGAAGCTCAATCTTACAGTTTCATCTCTCCTTAGGACTTGTGACTGTTCGCGAAAAATACATTTCCACATAGAGATCCATGGTTTTCCTCTCAGTGCATAAGAATTCCAGGTTCCTGTAACTATAAATCTAAATAGACAGTCCTCATTCCTTTTAAAGTAGGTACGTAGCTATGCAATGATCTGAAGAAATCAGGCTCAAACACACTTCAAATAGAAAGAACAAGATTCACATAGAAATGAAAGATCAAAGAGAAAAATCATGGGGTAAACCTAATCCACCAAACAATTAAGGAACCAATATTCGAAAATTCGGCCGCCCGACCGCCTAGGCAAAAAAAAATTTAAAACGCCTAGGCACAGTCTGGGCAGGTAAATCTAGCGTTTTTTCTTTTGGGCGCCTGCCTAGGCGGCCTGGGCAGCACCTAGGCGCTATTGCCTAGGCGGCTCCCCGTGACAACTTGCGAGCAGCAGAAAAAACTCTTAGGTGAGAGTAAAATATGTAATTTTTTCCCCCTAAAATGAGGGGAAAAAGGTTTTAAGGGGTATTCTAAACCCCCAATAGAAAAACTGTGGCATTTAGGGTGAGAAAAACCATCAAAAAATACTATTTTGTAATTTTTCGAAAGATCGATAAATTTTTTATTTTTTTGATTTCTTCTCAAAATGAAGGCAATAATCCTTGAGTGGATTTGGATCTTCCAATAGTTGATTTTAAAAACTTTTGACGACCCAATAAACAAAATTTGCACCAACATCGATTTGATTTTGATATTTTAAAATATTATCATATTTAAAAGAGGGTTTTGATGTTATTTTACTACGACACATTATGTTATGAATCACGTGTTTTTTCTTTTACTTTTTTTTTGAGCCTCTAAAATTGCCCTAACAGCTCCCTAAGGTTATAAACCATGCCCTAACAACTCCCCTATTTTTTATGTTTGGGTTGGGGGGGTTTGATTTTGTTGAGCGGGCACTTCACCGCCTAGGTGCCTGAATCCGTTTTTCTTAACATTGTAAGAAACCAAAAGTTGGGCCAATTGGGTTTAAACGGCTTGATTGGTGTAGGCCACAACCATGATCAGAATCAAAGTAAGGAATTAATAATGTATTCGACATTTGAGACTCTAAGAATAGCCTTCAATTGAATCAAATCATATGAATAGAAGAACAAACACAAAATTTTATTGACAGAGTAGAAACTGTAACACACTGTACAGCTTTATCAAATGCTGCACCAGGATCATACTTAGAAACATAATCATGCTAAGCCTGCAAGAACCCAGCTATAAGCCTTAAAAACTATATATAAATTCCATCAAGAAGGGGTGCATGTGAGTACGGTAGATCTTGAAAGTAGTCTAGGGCTTGCACGGGCCAAGATCTGCCAAAACCTGCAGAACCTCAGTTGGGGATCACTCCAAGCTCATCAGGCTCCATGCACCCAAGCTCAAACTATTAAGCTTTAGGCTTAATTCGGCAATCTGTCAGGGTTGGCCAATGAAAATAATAAATTAACAATAATACGTATTCCTATTGGTATCTTACAGACCTCCATGGTTAAGAAAGTCTATTAGTAGAGAATAAGAGGAGAATAAAGAGGAAGAGAATCAAAGTTGTCCTATCATATGCTACACCAAAGAAAAGTGTGTAACAAGGCCAGCTAAGCATGAGAGGAGAGCATGTTCGCAAAATGTCGGTGAGAAGGAATGCGGCAAGCCACGACAGCTTTAAAAAGAGGAACTAAAAGCTTCAAAAAAGGAAACTAAGCGGATACAACAATGTGTTAAGTTGGGATCTAAAGCGTGAAAGCAGTGTGCAAAGACACTCTGCGCAAATGCATGTTGCCATGCACATTGTTTCCACAAATATTATACGCATAATATAATAGACATACGCTCTGTTGCCAGAAGTTATGGCAAGAACTAATAAAGAGAAGCCTCCAAAATAATGTGTATTATCGCTTTCAAGCAGTCATTCCCAAAAAACAACTCCCACGCCTTCATAGACGCACTCATGAAATAGGTTGTCATATTCTTTCTTTATTGCATTAGCACGAGCTAAGCCAGGTTTGTTACCACCTTGACCGCCACGGAAAAAATTCTAGATGCTGAAGAATTACCACATAAAATGGGTTTTACAAGCACAAGAATAATGTAGATGATCCATCGCAACCTAATGGTTTGGCCAGTTAATTACATCCATAAGAAGAGTACATTTGGACAAGAAACCCAAACCTAAGCAAAGCACAACAATATAGTGGGTCCTAAATTCAGGCCCGGTTAGACCTTTCCATGAGGCCCAAACCTGATCCATTGAGGTTCAGTGTCCTAACCACATTCAATACTAAGTTCAAATTATCAGCAGTAGAAATATCCCTTGTGAAAGCATGTAGTCAAATTTAGTCGAGTAACAATGGTAGTTAAGAGTATTGTAGCGACTATTATGGGCTTCACACCTATTAAAGAAACCAGTAACAGAGTACTGTAGTGACTATTATGGGCTTCACAACTATTAAGGAAACCTGTAACTATTAAAGGCTCCATGCCCTTTATAGAAATTTACATGTGGTGGAAAGGCATAGTTTACCAATAAGCATCAAATTTTGGAAGCCTAATCTGTAGCAAATTGCATAATATCCAACTATATCTGAATGCTTTTCCTGTTGAAACACATATGCATGAGAGCCACAACTTACATGCATGCTGACCTATATTCTGACTGCTATAAGGATACATGTATATGTAAAACGTACCCTCCCCCATGGCTCATACAATATAATAGACATTTTGTTTTACCCAATTGTGTCCTTGAATATTTATTTCTTTTTCTCTCTCATAATATTAACATAGTACCAAAGCAGAGCTTGGAACCCTAGGATATCCACCATTTCAATAACCCTAAAGTCATGATTTTTCTTTCTTCTTGGGCTTGAAGTTATAATGTATCAACAACCTCATCTTTTTAGTAAGACTGCCCCTTTTTACGACTAGGTAAGTTTATCCCACATTCTTTTCCTTTCTAGCAAAAAACCGAGACCTTTTTTTTTTTTCTCTAACGCACACAAAGATCACACCATTATATTCCATACCCTTCTCACCAAACAAATTTGGTTTCCATACCCTTCTTCATCCAAACAAACCAAAAAAATGGGATCTTTACAAGCTTTGAAACTAGGGAATTAGTACCTTACGAAAAGTCTTAGGGTTTATAGTTAGAGAAAAAATAAGAAATCAAACACAATATTTTCTTGAGTAGTAGTCAACCTAACCACCCAGGATCGATACTTGCTACAGTCATGCTTGATGGGACATACTAGCACAATATTTTCTTGAGAAGTAGTCAACCTAACCACCCATGATTGATGCTTGCTACAGTCATGCTTGATGGGACATACTACTCAGAATAGTCCCAATCTGCCAAAATGTTTATAGGAAGCCGGAAAAAATTAGGTTACATCACAGAAAAGGTGAAAGAGCCTTCCCAAAAATGATCCATCCCATGAGGAAGGGGATAGGCAATCTCAAAGTAATGGCTACGCAGCCAGGTCTCATCAGGGTATTGTTGCTTCTTAGAACTGCAAAGGATACATGGGAAGCAATAGCCAAGATATACTTGCAAGGAGATGATATGGTTAGGATTCACCAATAGCATCATGAAATAACAAATTTGCAGCGCAGCACGGGGAAATCACTCTGGAAGAGGACTTTGGAAAACTAAAGCACGAGTGGGAAGAACTAGACCACTATCAACATACTAATCCCACCGTTGATGACCAAAAAAAACAAAAAACAAAAAGGACCGGGCAAAATAGGATCTTTGAGTTCTTGGCAGGCCTGTATCCTAACTTTGAACTTCATAAGAGCGTAAGTTCTAAGGAAGGATGACAGATTGCCATCTCTTGAATCAATTTATAATTATGTTAGGGGGAAGGCAGCATAAAGGCCACTGCAAGGGGTCAAAGCTCAAACATCCACCCTAAATGATCCATCTTGTAGCAAGTTCTGCATAAGGGAAAGTGGATGCAAAAGGGCCTAAATCGTGCCCCAATTTCTCCGGTCAAAAAGGAGAAACTCAAATACTCCCATTGTGTGAAGAGGAGACACCTAAGAGCACTGTTAGGACATGATTCACACTTGAGACCGAAGCAGAGGAATGCAATTGCTAATATTGTATCAAGTGAGGGGAAGGAAACTTCTGCCGCACAACCCCAATTACCAGATCGAAGAGATCATGACCTCAAAGATTTACAGCACCAGCTAAGTGCTCTCAAGGCTTCCTCAGCTCTAAGACACCTATAGAGGAGCAAGGTACACATTTATTCACAAATCATGCCCTCCAAATCCACCTCTTCTGCATCCTAGATCATTGATTTAGGAGCATATTGATCATGACTAGTAAGAAAGTCGGTTTTTTGTCATTTTCTCATATTTCTAGTGACGTTAAACTTAGGGATCTATGACCAGTGCCTATGGGAGTGGAACATATAAACTGTCATCATCCTTGTTCTCACCCTCTGTAATGGATGTCTTCTTTCTTCCAATCTTTTCTCTGCTAGTGGCATGACAAAACAATCAAACTGCAGTGTCACATTCTATCCCTCACATCGTGTTTTTCAAGGCTTGAAAATGAGGAATACAATTGGTGGCGATTGTGAAGACAATAGGCTATACCATAGTTGCCTAGATATCCCATCATAGGTCGCGATCCCGATCTGGAATCTCACTCGGGCACTCCGGGTCAAGGGATCTCCACTGTTAGGGATCTCGAGTCTTACTATTAAGGATCTCGATCCCGATCTTAAAGACCGAGATCACCAACAAACTGATGAATTTCTTAGTTTATAGCGAGCTAGCATACGACTAAGCTTTTAATGTAGTTCCATTGCTTGCCGGTTATAAATAAAGAGATCCCTACTTTAAAAGAGTATAGAGGGTCCTAGATCATACATACTCTTTAAGATTAGGAGCAAGATCCCAAAAAGGTCGGGATCAAGATCCCCAAAAGATTGGGATCTTGATGCTTAATGTTAGGGGATCTAGACCCCTACCATATGTAGTATACATACGACACTCCCAACCATAGGGATCTTCTAGCATTTCATGATCCTCACTCACTCTTGATCCCCTCCCTCTCTTGATCCCAACTATGGCTACTTATGTTCAACACAGGATGCACTTCTACTACTCTCAATTCTGAATCTAGAAGTCATAAGTACTCTTATAGCTATAACCGTTGTTTCCAAATAAATTAGTTTCTTCAAATGTTTCTTAGTTGCAATGTTGTTAATTATCTAAACATTATAGAACCCCTTTGTCTTATAGTGAAAATAAAAGTTCTAAACCATTTCATTTGGTTCATTATGATGATTGGGGGTCCGCTCCAATCATTTTTGTATCAAGATATCAGTACATCTCATTTATCGATGACTACTCCCACTATACTTGGATCTATATTATGAAATGTAAAGATGAAGTATCCTCAATAGTTTAAATATTTCATAAAATGGTTCAGACCCAGTTTGAGACCCAAATCAAAATTTTCCCATTTTGATAATGCAAGAGTAACTATACAATGGATTGAAGAATTATTCATTGAACAAGCAAAGAAACTAAACATGATGTTCCTATACACCACAACAAAATGGCGTGGCAGAATGGAAATACAAATGCTAAAAGTTGTGATAGGCATCTTAATAGGAATGAAGGCTCCTATGACATATTGGTCTGAAGCAATACTTACTACTGCCTTTATGATCAATATGATGTCTACACCTATTCTCGATGGTGCTTACCCTTTCAAACTTTTCCACCACTCATTCCTCTAGTTTCTCTTCCATTAAAAACCTTTGCTTGTATAGGAGTAAATTAGAACACCCATCTACTAAATGTGTATTCCTAGGATACTCAAAACTCTTAGAAATGACATGTCTCAAAAGATGTTACAATCTTTGATAATATACCCTATTGCTTTTGCCTAAGAGATTTGTTACCCACTACGCCAATAATCCAACCAAGGAACAAGTGATATCTATATAGAAACAATTGAATCCATACACCTGAAAAAAGAACAAGGGAAAGTTTGATGTTACGCTTTTAAAAGTCAGGTGACCCCTAGACGGGCAGTGTTCATAGGCTGCCTAGCGCCTAGGCGAGCACCCACGGATCTAGGGACATAGGTTTCAAAAGGAAGCAAGGGGTGGCTAAGATCTTGTTTTAGGTCCAGATTTTGCATAAAAAATGCACGAATAGAAAATGCACATTCATGCATTTTATAAAATCTAAACAAAAAACACAAAAAATGCCACGCAATGGGTATTTATGCGCCTGAGCAGGCCCAGTTCCTAGGCACTCATCTAGGCGGGTCCTATGCAAGTGCCTAGGGTCTCTAGGCAAGTGCCTAGGGACAGCCTGCCTAGTCCGTCCACTCAGGTCTAGGTTATGGGCCCAGGTCCCACTAGCCCAACAAGGTGCCAAGGTGTTGG